CCTAAATTATCTCTATTTTAGTAGAGTTTCTTTCCTAAATTATTTTTAATTCCTATTTATCCTCTCCACTACTTTTTATCTATACCTATCTAAAGAAAGTTTGGATTAAAAAATTTAAGAATTATTTAAATATTCTAACAAAATTACATAATAACATTAAAATATTTATTAAAAACACAAAAATTAATTTTATATTTTTACAAAATATATCATGAAATTATGTAATAACAATTTAAAATATTTTTTCCGGATTATCAATTTAAATGCTTTTCAAATATTTAATAATATGTAATAGCTTTAAATAAATAACATTCAAATAACAAAAAAATTAAATATTTTATAGATTATTTAAATATTTAAATAACTAAATATTTATCATAACTATATTTTAAATAGTTAAAATAACGAAATTATCTAATAAATAATTTTATATTTTTACAAAATATATCTCGAAATTACATACTACCAATTTAAATTATGTTTTTCCGTATCATTGATTTAAATGATTTTCAAACATTTAATAATATATAATAGCTTTAAATAAATAAAATTCAAATAAAAAAATTTTAAATATTTAAATAACTAGATATTTATCATAACTAGATTTTAAATAGTTAAAATAAAGAAATTATGTAATAAATTTAACAAATTTCTTTAAAGCAGAAAAATAATTATAACATAATATTGAAATTAATAATAATTTAATGTATTACAAAATTAATAATGAAACTATGTAATAATAGTATAAATTATTATTTTATGGATAATTAAATTCCATAAATAACTAATATTTTAAAATTTAAATATTTTACATATTATTTAAGTATTTAAATATCTGGGTATTTTAAATAACAAAATATTTAACATAACTAGATTTTAAATAGTTAAAATAAAGAAATTATGTAATAAATTTAAAAAATTTCTGAAAAGTAGAAAAATAATTATAACATAACATTGAAATTAATAATAATTTAATATTTTTACATAATATTGAAAATAACTAATTTCACTTATATCAAGTAATAATTCGAGAAAATAACTTTCAAAAAAATTAATAATAATTTTAAACTCTTATTCTATATTATTATATAATTATATATACTAAAATTATCATTTATTGTACTTCAATAATTATTTATTGTTTTTGTGATAAATGTATTTTCAATGATTATGTATAAATTTATTTTGTTTTGTTATTTAACAAAAAACTTTCAATAATTATTAGAGATTAAACTACTATTTGTAAAATATTTAAATTTAATTTATTGTACTTATTGTATTTTTGTTATAACTTATTGATTAATAGTTATTAGAGATTAGACTATTATTTGAGATTATACTATTTATTGACAAAGTTAATATATTTTTAGTACTTATTGTATTTTTTTAATTATTATATTTTTTCATTATCAATATACTTTTAATAATTGTGTATTTTTGCTATAAATTTTCAATAATTATTGGAGAATAAACTATTGTTATTTATCAGAGATGAGACTATTAATTTAGTTGAATTCATGAGTGTTCATGAGTGTTCGGTCATAGGCTATTTGGCCAACCAAATTGACTTGGTCAGGTTGGAGAGTTGGTTAGCTAAAACCGACTAACTTTTTGTGAAAACCGACCCACTCAAATTGTATAGGTTTGAGTTGATTTTTTTATTTGGTTAGTTGGTTCAAAAGATTTAAACTTACAAATTTAATTTAATTTTAAAAATTATATTGAAATTATTAAAAAATAAATTTAAAAATTAGATTTATGATATAAAACATTTTAGACTAAGAAATATGGGAAATTTCCCACTTTTCCATATTAAAAATTATATTTAAAATATAAAATATTAATATATATGCATGGTTAGGTGATTCAATTTTGGTTGGTTTACAAATGGCCAAAGTGAAATTGATTCAACTTGGTCAAATTGGGAAATTTTTTAACAAAAGCTGACCTAAAATAGTAGAAAACCGACCAACTTGGGTCGAGTTGATCGGGTTGGTCGGTTTCATCATTTCGATGAATAAACCTAACTGAAATTAATTATTATTATTTTTGTATTATAAAAAAATTATTAAAAGTAATATATACAATATGAATAATTATTAATTATTTAAAGAATTGAAAATATAAAACAATTGTATACTCTCATGTGATTCTATTAGGGTCATTTACTAGAACACATCTTATAGTTTTACATATTACTTAAACCCACCTTATAGTATTCATTTTATTAAAATATCCCATATATTTTTCAACTTATTTACTTAATCAACCTTTCATTAAGGAGTGTTTGTTTTTCCATTAGGCCCATGGTTTTTTATTTCAAAAATACCCTTAACACTTCTTTTGTACAAAAAACAAAATTAACCAAACATAGACAATAGAGTGGTTGCCCGTGTCTTATAAAGGGCAAAAATGGTATTTCTATTTTTATTTTATTTTGATTAAATTTATTTAAATGAACATTAGGGTCAACACTATCATTTTCCATTGTCATAAGATTGATTAAATCCATGAAACTACAAGGGGTATTTTAGTAAATGGCCATTTCTATTATTTAGCTTTCTCTTAATAAATCCCGTGCCGCTAGTATTATATTAATATATAGATAATAAATTTGTATATACTTTTTACAATTTAAAGTATAAAATTAAATTAAATTTTTAATTTGAAAAAATCATAATTTTATTAATTAATATAGGCAATGCCGAATGCTCTGCTCGGGCTTGGGCCTATACATTTATTATCAAGCCTGGGTTGAAGGCCAGGCAACTAAAATTGGGGACGGGATCAGCTGCCAATGGAGTGCGCCCCACAGCCCATCCCATCCGTGCATTGGAAGTATTTCCCATGACAAACACGGGAGATGTTCCTAGTGCACAGAGGAGATGGGCTGTGGGGTGCCTTTAGGGCACGCTCTGTGGGGAGCCGATCCCAACCACCCCAAAATGCTCTTATTACTTTGCTAAAAGAAACCCAGGTCAGACGGGATGCAGCCCATGATCGTCCCTAGCATATATCTGAAGTAAAACTTAATCCTTAAAAATAAGGTTCCGTTTGTTTTTCGGTAAGTTATGCACCTGGATAAGTGTTTCCCAGTAAAGACTTAATAGGATAAATACTTTTACCCATGTGTTTTTTTTTTTTTAATTTCCCATGTAAATAAGACAATAACTATTTTAGCCATAAAAATCCATTATTAAAAGTTGTATTTTTTGTCCCATTCAAGTGGTGGCAACCAGGTGAGAAAGTTATTTACAAAATGGGTATCACTTATTTAGAAAAATAAACTTTAATTTCATTGATCCCCATATAAATTTAATAAAAAAATATGGGTTTCTTGGTCAATAAGAATCAAAATGCCATTGACAAACTTTCCCCTTCTCAAAATCTGAAAAACGAATGCCCCCTAAAAGATAAATCATTCGTCAAATTGGAGCATATATAAAAGTTAGATTAGACTCTTAAGTCGTAACTTCGATGGGACTCTTTTTCTCGTTCAGGACTGTGGATCACCCGTTGATGCGGGATCATCTTATTGGGTGATACGAGGAAAGAATCATAAGGCCTCTCAACCAAAGTGAATTCATAGTTGAGTTGAGCTTGATGGTTTAATACTCCACTCAGCTCAGCTCAATTACACTCCTAATTACAATAATGTAGTCATGAATTTCTGGTCTAGTCATGGGGTTGTAACTGTGATCCATTCAATGAACCCTCCTGATTCTTGAGGGTTGAGACATGGAGCCGGTAGCAAGTTATGTAGCCTCGGACCACCATACCCATCCTGTGTTCACTGACCCAAGACGCTTGTTACAATATATATATATATATATATATATATATATATATATATATATATATATATATATATATNTATATATATATATATATATATATATATATATATATATATATATATTATGTAATACCACTCGACCAGGTACTAGTTGGGCCTCAATATGTCTGGCCTAGCCCAGACTTTGATGGTGCCTACAGGTTGCAGAGTACAGGCAGGCCTGGGCTGGGTAGTGACATGAAATCTATGCAAGCCCAGTTTTATCTGTGGCCTAGACTACGGTGCCCATTGTTGTCGTAACCTTAAAACTTCTTGCTGGGAGCTCTCAAGTTGCTCCTTGGCGTTGCTTGTTAGCATTCCACAACACATACATATTTTGGGAGCTCTCAATCAAGTTGCTCTTCCCAAACTAAGCCTTAATTTCAGCTTCGACTTAAAAGAATAACGTTATATGTTCCTGCTGGTAAAACATAAGAAATTGGCCAGACAAATCCGCTTATTTAATCCTGGGTCCTGGCTAGGGGAATTCAAAGGTGGTCTTCATGATGAAATAATGCACGCTGGTCGGTGCATGGATGGACGACTAGCACGTAATTAATGTACACAGAAACAGAATTCTGTGAATGTGGGTGGTTCTATGCATGTTTTTCCTCTATTACATTACTACTTGCCTTCACCTATGATCTTGTTGACTTAATTCATGGAGGAGACGAGTGAATGACTGAGAGAGTTCTCATCTGATTCTGATCATCTTTGATCTTTCTTTCTATGGCAACATTTTCAACGATGGATGCCAACTCTTGTATGGAGCGGGTCGCATGCAGCTGAGGCCTGAGGGGAGGGGTAACTCATTTATTTCCATTAGCTCTTATGAGTTATGACTTATGAGATCTCTGCCAGCTGGTCTCTCTCGTCTTGAAACAACGCCAACACCCTCCTCATCCTTTTTTTTTTGTGGTGAGCTTTGATCAACAACCCCATCCAATCAATTTGACTCCATTTCGTCCACATATCTAGAGAGAATAGTAACTAGGAGGAGGAATTCATGCCAATAGGACTTCAGTTTAGATTATCATGCCAGTTGATCCGGTTCGGTACAGGAATCACACCCAATTTATTAATTTATTGGTCAGACAACAAATAAAAACAATATCCAAAATACGAAAGTGGGGGAGGGGGGGTCCAATTAATTGTCCAAAATCCAAAATAGAACTAATTTTCGTTTTATTCTTTCTCTGTTCCTCGAAGATCAGTAGTTCCTACAAAGAAGCAAAGAGCAAACACTTTCTTTATTGGGTCCATCGGATCACAGCAGGCGTTTGATATTTTTTATTCTGCCTAGATCTGTCTAATTGAATGCTGCACAATCACTTCTGATGTTCCCTTGTGATCCGGTCTTGACACCAACCCGACCCAATTTGGTGATGGCCTTGATAAAGGCCTTTTGAAAAGCGGCCGAGTTGCTGGCCCAGGCATTCACGGTGGGCCTGGATCTAGCATCTGTGAAGAGGACCTGGTCCGAGGTAAAGAGTCCTATCCCCTGTTGGAGATTCTTGTAGTAGACGTTGTCGAATGTCCTGGGTGTGTTAGGATCCATGTTAATGGCTACGGATGGATCCACATTCTTAGGGCACATTCCTTGAAGCTGTGATGCATAGGCCTTGTTCAATGTAGGGTCCACCGGGTTCTGGGCGCTGAAGTTGTATATACGATTAGCGAATCTGCTACAATGAGAGAAGCCCACAGTGTGCGCCGCTGCAACATATATATACATATATACATAACTTATCCTTAATCGTTTACACTAATTTTTAATTTATAAATAAAGCCCAACTATTAATCAAACTAGCTAGTAGTTAAGTAATTAATTTTAATGGTGTTTTTCTTTCTTGTTAAAATAAATAAATAATTGATGGACCACTCTTGGATTTGTAATAACAACTAACAATTGGCTCCCGATAGCTAGGTTGATGATCCTTTTGAGTTTTGAGTGATTTAATTTGAAGTTGTTGGTTTTCACTTTTCATCAATCTATAACTATCATTTTATGTTTATCTTTCTAATGTATATCCTCCATAGAAATGTTACGTACCTGAGAGAGCTATCATGTCTATCTGAGTGAGGCCATTAGCAGCAAACAGGGAAGTGAGCTGCTTGAGATTGAATGTCGGTTGAGGCAGCTTCCCGTCGACACTTGCAGCGGTTGAGCTCAATCCGTCCAATCTTCCTAATTCGACTGCGTAAGACGGTCCCCCAGACTGTGTATTCCAATTAATTCAACCAACAAATTCAATTTTAAACAATACCTACATATGGTCTCCTGTCTAACAGCTGCTGAAATCTGAAGAAAAGTTTTAGAGCAAGACATGAACGATCAAACGTACGTACGTACGTACCAGAGCAATGACATCACGGGTGGCCATGGAAAGGATGTCCGCACAGGAGACCTTATTCTTGCAACTAGGGACGGCGTCCACAGCTGCCTTGGCCTTGATGACGGTGTCAAACCCGTCTCCGGCCAGCGACAGATTGTCCGGGTGGTCTTTCTCTGCCTGGTTGTTTTGCGTAGACGCAATAATAACAGAAGCATCACAGCCCTGTAAATCAATATACCAAATTGAGGTTATTAGGAGATAATCATCAGAGATTGTAATTAAATATCGTATATCTCACTGACATGGCATAGATTTTTGCCTTAAAATTAAAAACAACAACAAATGTAATGTTTAGCGTTTGTTTGATGGTATTTATTGGGGACCTGAACAAAGCAATCATGGAAGAAGAGACGAAGAGTTGCAGGGACGGTGACGAAGGTCTGTTGGAACTTTTGGGTGACCACATTTCTAACGATGGTTTCGACGTTGGGGCAGGTATTTGCATAGTAGTCTCGTCTAAGTTGAGCTGATCCCAGTTGAGGAAACAGACAGACGTGAAGCACGAGTATCCACACCACGGTCCGAACGTTGAAGACACCCATGATCTAATTCAGAATTCAGACAAACAAGCAGCAGATGGAACAAATGGTGGCTCTGAAGTCTGCAGCTAGAGAAGATGCTTGGAAGAAAGAATATATATATATAAAGGGAAGCTGAGTTTTGGTCATTTGCCAGTTGTCGAGAGTTGAAATCCTTTTAATATTCATAGATAGGAGTAGGTTTAATATAAAGCATGGAATAGGATTTAACTCGCGGACTTTGAAAGTGTCATCAGTGACAAGAAACAATGACAATTTTAGCATTAACTGCACCCCCATTGCCATGCTTTTGTTTCAGTTGATTACAGAAGCGTGTTCGGATTATTTTTCCGTTGACCACGCTCCTGCTTTACAATAACTCTACGTCAGGTAGGTAACCTGTAACCCTCACCAAGAGAGAGAGAGAGAGAAAACTTATAAAGAATATTACTCAAATTATTGACTATGATGTGGACTAAATACATATATATTAAAACTCTTCGTAGAGAGAAAATTAATAAATACAAGATGTAAACATGCATCCAAATTCATCTGCACCGTTCCATTGAAGATCCACCCCCTTGATTGGGCAAACAATCAACGTCATGGCTCAATTTCAACTGAAGGGGTAGTGAGAAGAATGAGTCAGCACTCGGTGGTGACTTGGACGTGATCGAAGAAGTCTTACCGGCGGCAACACAGATAAATGTGTTTTTATTGTTACGTTGTAATCACTAATCAGTGTGAAGAAGACTCGCAGTTCTCCCCCATTCGCTGACAGACAACAATAGAAGAATGGCCGTCGCCTCTCACCTTAATGAACACTCAATCATTTAAAAGAATAGATGGGGATGATAATCACGTAAAATCACCATTTTTTTTTTCTTTTCTGGACCAATGATTTCACCACAGTTCAAGTTCATCTCAAGGGAAAAAAAATGGAAAAAATACTTTTATAAACGTGCGAGCTTGGTGTTTTCAATTGCATATGAGATTATATAAAATGGAGATTTGGTTGGGCTAGTTCAACAATTAATAGTCTTAAAATCACAGTGATGATGATAAGAGTTTTCTTACAGGGAAACCAATATCGCCAAAGAATGAAAGCGGAAGATTCTTCCGTTCAACCTGTCTGCTCATAATAATCTTACATAAAAGAAAGAAATGTTTTTTCAAGTAAAAATAAAAATAGAAACATTTGCATATAAACACGCAAAGTGTATTAATGGAATAAAGGGCAGCAGTGTGCCTTTGAATTTTCGTTGGTGGTGGGATCCTCTTAGGGTTTTGATTTGCTCAAAAATTCAACCAGAGAGAAACAAATTCTTAGTTGCGTGAGCGCCCATCTCTCTTACAAACTCTTCTCTTCTTAACCTTTCTAAACATCATTTCAAAGGAGAAGGTGAGATATCAACATACAGCGATCGAGCTTTGAGTCTACTACTAGATCTATAACAAGTTAAGAACCAATTAGGTACAAAAGAAGCTGGCGTTAAAAGGTTGGATCATGGATGTTAGGAAGAAGGAATAGAGTTCAGAGGGGAGTCCACAGAAGACAGAACAACAACCTACCTACCTCTGTCCTCTATCCACTACAGTGCGTGTACAGTGCACATGCAAGCACACCGAATCAGCGATTTAACATCTAAGACTAATATGGATAAACTTTCCGAATTGATGGGCGACATACTACATTGATTTTAGCCTACAAGTCACACAAATTGTGTGTGTATACTAAGAAAATGTGATCCATGATGTAAACTACTTAGATAACTTGATTACTTATTAAATAGTAAGGAGAGGGGAAGAGGGTCCAAGTCCATCCAACATGGTGGTTTAGTAAAACAAATCTGCGTGGGATCCCGTAGCACACCTACCTGTTTTCTACTTTGCTTTGATTGGATAGATGGCTCCTTTGAATTTCTTGAGAGTAGACATACTGGAAGACGCCAACGACAACGACGACGAACGTCATATTTAAGATTTTTATTCACTTTGATAAGCTGTTGCAGTTGATCAGTTTCAGCTGACAGAGATGTGTTCCACCTGATAATTCAACATGCCACATAAACTGGATCTTAATACAATTTTTGCTGCTTAAACTTAATTTAGTAGGTATTTGGCATCCATGCCGTTGCTTCAGTACAGCACTGGTTGTTACATCGGTGCCCTGTCACTGTAGCGTTGGCAGCAACGGGCTGGAATCAAACGTTGAATTCGACGTTCCCTTAAACCATGCCTTCCCAATTTCCAAGGTGTGGTGTAAGGCAACATTTTCTTTTGAAAAAACGGAACCAAACATGAACCGTTTTCTAGGGCACTGCTTTTCCTGACATGGTGCCGATGTGGCATATTAGGAGCAATGATGCCATATCATCGATGGTTACCACATCATCAGATAGATATCAAGACTCCAACAGATATAGTTAATCTCTCTTATATTTTATCTAGGATTCTCTTCTCCTATAGATAAACTAGATGGATAATTCTTAACTTGTTGTAATCCATACTAGTTTGTGTTGTACTTGGAGTCTACTAACTCAGCTATATATTGATCATAGGGGTGGCAATTTTCCCCGTCCCTGACAGGTACCCGTGCTCCCCGACCCCATCGGGTCGGGGATGGGAGGTACCTTGGCGGGGTCAGGGTTCGGGATGGGGACGGGGAATGCAATCCCCGCCCCGACTCATCCCCGATTAATATTACATATTATATAAGTATAATAATTACTAATTTATTTATAAAACAGTAAAAACTATAAGTCTAAAACATAATTCGAAGAAATCAAGAAAACTTGAAAAGTTGGAAAACCCTTAACCCTCGACTAAACCAATTACCAGTCTTCATTCTTTTGTCTTTGACAGAGAAGACTCAAGAGAGGCGACTAAACCACAAAACCAATAAACCCTAGCTTCATCTTCGTTGCCGATTCATCAACCGCCGACTGCCAACTACCATCGCTGACTGTTGCCACTGCCCACTCGCCCGTCGGACATCGAACAGAGGAGAGGCCAGAGATTTGAGGAATAGACTTCGTCTTTGTCGCCAATTCACAGACCGCCGACCGTCGTCGCGGTCATCATCGCCGTCACTGTCACCCTTTGGACTCTCTCTCATCAGTCATCATCGACATAAACTCTCCCAAGTCCCAACGGTCCTCTCTCTCCTTCTTAGTTTCTGGGATTCGGGGATGGAAGGGGGATTCCTTTCCTCGTCGGGGATCGGGGATGGGGATGGGGGGGTGATTTGGGGGTCGGGGTCGGGGATGGGGAATGTACTCTCCGCCTCAAACCCGCCCTGTTGCCATTCCTAATTGATCATGGTTCTAGTGAGAATCATCAGCCGAACCATTCTTGAAGTTCTTCTCTCTTCATATTGTTTATTTCATACTTGGCATCAGATCCGATATCAACATGTCATCGATCAACATTTCAGCCAAAGGAGGTAGCAACAATCTTAGATCATTGGGTTCAGCTATAACTCCAGGAGTTGCAACAACAATGCTAACATCATGCATAACTTACCTATCAGGTTGAACATTGACAACTGTCTCTTATGGCATGCGCAACTTCTACCCATTCTCAGGACCCACAAATTAATAGGAATGGTTGAAGGAAAAACGCCCACTCCTCTTGAAGAGGTTGATGACCCAGAGGATCCGTCAAGGAAGATTCTCAACCTAGCATTCAATCAACTACAGAGACAACTTTAGAGTCTCAAGAAAGATACACTTTCTATTTCAAAATTTGTTAAAAAAGCGAAGGGTATTGCTAATAATCTCTCTGTTGTTGCTGAACATGTTTCAAAACAACATCTTGTTTTATATATTTTATCCAGGTTTGGACTTGAGTATGAATCGATTATTATTGCCATTACTAATTGATTTGATCTTGATAAATTAGGAATTTCTGATGTTATTGGTCAATTACATGATCATGAATCTTTGCTCTGTGATAAAAATCAATCTACCAAAACCGATGATCATGTCTCTGCTAATCTTGCTTTGTCCGGCAACAAGAACAACTCTCAGTAGCCATGCAATAATTTCTAGCGTCGCCGAGGTAGAGGCAGTCGTGGTGGTTACACTAATGGTCCTGGCCATGGTAGAGGATGTAACACCATTATCTGTTTGTTGTGCAACATCCCAAGCCATGGCGTATGGAAGTGTCATCGCCGATTTGATATTTCTTTTCTTGGAGGTGATCGCCCCACTGCTCCAATTCCTACCACTTCTTAACAAGCTGTGTTTCACACCGACAACTCTTCACAGTTCAATCCAGTGTTGTATTCTAACTCAGGACCAATGCATCACATCACCTCCGAGCTCGATAACCTTCAATTTCGATCAGACTATGGTGGGTCTAATCAGGTGAAATTCGGTAATGGAGCAGGTTTTCAAATTGAAAACATTGGTTCTTCTGTTATTTCTCATGGTGACAATCAATTTTATTTTCAAGATATTTATCATGTTCCATCTATTACAAAAAAATTGTTATCTGTCAGCAAATTTAGAAGAGATAACAATGTTATTTTTGAATTTCATCCCTCATTTTTTCTCTTAAAGGACCATATGGGAAGAGTTCTACTTCGAGGACCTAGTAAAGGTGGACTCTATCAGTTTCCTACTATAGCAAAAATTGATATGTCTTCACAATCTAGTATCCGTCAGCAAATTTACAAGAGATAACAATGTTATTTTTGAATTTCATCACTCATTTTTTCTCTTAAAGAACCATATGGGAAGAGTTCTACTTCGAGGACCCAGTAAAGGTGGGCTCTATCAGTTTCCTACTTCAGCAGAAATTGATCTGTCTTCTCAGTCTAGTAATGTCATTGCGTTTATTGGAGAGAAAGCTTTAGTTTGAGTTTGGCATCATCGACCTGGACATACTTCTATCAAAATTGTTCGTGTCATTCACAATTTGGTCTTCCCTACAGTGGTTCATGTAGTTCACAAGTGTGTGGTTCCTGTCAGCTAGGCAAAAGCCAACGTTCTCCACTTTCAACATCTTCTACTTCTTGTAGTCGTCCATTAGAATTAGTCTATTTTGATGTATGGGGGCCTTCCCTAGTAACTTCTAATAGTGGATTTAGATGTTATG